TTTCCAGTTAACTATGGTCTACTAAAATGTAAGGAACATAAAATAGATTGTCTCTGCCAAGGCACTTAGATAAGAAAGATAAAACCAGTTATTACCTAATATCCCAATAGAAATGACCATATTCTAAAATGCATTACGGTCTCTCATTTCCCTGAACTACAGGGACAAGGTTGCAATGAATAATCCTTATTGAATCTCTTTTCTAGTATGGCAAATGGCAGAGCATTCATACAAGCCAGTGTAAATGCACCCGAGGCTTACAGACAGGAATAGCTTTTAGCTAGTGAGCCCCTCTGCTTCCCATTGGGAATTAAATGCCAAAAGTAGTGGCCGAGTTTCACCATTCAGTATCTTTTCTTAACAAACAAACTTCTTCGCTTTTTCTTTGCCTGAAGACAAAAGTTCAAATGGAGAACTAGACGTGGCGACTTCACAAGTTATTCTGAGGAAGTGACTTTCAACCTCATTATTTATGGTTTGTATCCAAATGGATTCCCAGATAAGAGCCAGGTTGTACTCTTAGTACAAAATATCTGTAAAGCCATAACTGTTAATTGGCCACCCTATGCAAAACAGACTCCTTGGAGAGTTGTTAGGCTGTTACAGGCCAACAAAAGTGCAGAAGATCTTTGAAAACCTCATTTTAAATAATTAAAAATAGAGCAAGCTTGTTCAATTGGACTTCCATTAAAACCCCCACTATATAATTCTCTGTGTTTAGAAAAAATTAAGATCTTGATTTTGATGCAATGTATTATTGTAGCCTCACAAAAATGGGCAGAGGCCTTCAGCAAATGATACAGTGCCAACCTCTATTGTGACCATAAGCTCTTTTGCATGTAGCAACAATCTGCTGGTTAAAAAAAAAGCCAGTGAGCTGCTGTTCAGCATCAGGCACTTGGCTTCTCTGCTGCATCACATGGACAGTAGCTCCCTTATAGGCTGTGCAGCATGACATCCCAACCCAGACAGCCCAATTAGGGGATAAAAATGGAACAGTTAACCCAACAACAAACCATAGTCCTAAAGTGCCCATTGGTCTAGGTTTGGACATTACATTGTGCAACCTGTGGTACTGATCGTGTGTTGTGCACGACACACAGGGTGTCCGCTTGTACACCCCAGTCAATTGCTTTTCTAATTGGGGAGCTGTCATTATAGATCAGGAAGACAGAGTCTTCACCATAGAGCAGCTGTGGTACCCCCACAGCAGCTAGTTTGGGGGAATGAGTATCAGCTGAGTTTGGTAAAGGAGTTAGGTCATTCAGAAATTGGTTAAATAAAACAGGTGCTAATGCACAGCCTTCTCTCACACTTTGGGCAGAGAAGATCGCCTTATTAGAGTGCAGTCTTGTGGGAAGGCCTGCAAACCTCTGAATTCAGAAGATTGCCACCATGCTGCATCCATGTTTGTCCTGCTCTGCAAAACAGCTGAATGGCCTATTTCAGCTGCCGTGCTTTAGAGCAGGAGGGTACATCAGTGCTTGGTGGTGCTTGTCCCCTCCTTCCAGAATGCCTCCTACACTTCTCAAAGATGGGTCCTTTTGGGCAGGTTATGCAATGGTAGTTAGTGCTTCCAGGCCAACCTGAAACTAAAGGAGATTGTTCTGATCCTTTTGGGACTTCCCTACAAAGTGCTAAATCTCCCTTGCATAAGCAGTGGGTGCCACTCAAGCAGCAGAATTGGTGAGATTCACAATTTTCAGAAGGGAATCAGTGGAACAAAAAAGGAATAGATAGGGATGTAAGTGCCCCTTTGGATTGTGTCTGTAGGTGTCTACTCAGAAGTAAATCTTGTTTAATTTAGTGGGGTGCATTCCCAGGTAAGTGTGTATATAGGATTGCAAGCTGCAGATAATATTTCTTTCTTAGGCGTCCACATGGTGGGCATGTTGTGAGTGGAGCCAGCTGGTGCTGGAGGTCAGACTAGATGGCCCGGGAAGTCCCTTCTGACTCACTCTGTTTCTATACATGGTAGCTTTTGTTTATTCAACTGTAAGTTATTTCCTTCGGTACCTCAAAATGGCTCCAGTGCTGAGATTTCAGTAATAATTTCTGTGCATGTAATTGGTTAGTTAAAAGGTAGTGCAAATAAGAATTCTCTTTCTTAATATGTTGACTTGCCTTTGCCAGCAAAAGCACAACCTGACATCTTACACCTCTAAACTTTCATGTTGCCCAGGCAGCCTCACAGGACTCCTCTCTATCTGCTAGCTATAACCTGGATCCAATTAAAGTCCATGTGGTTTTTCCTGTAAAGAATGTTAATTATGTGTTAATTAAATACGGAGCAAGTTAAAGATGCAAATTAGCTGTTGCCTACTTAAAGCCAAGTGGTTTTACACAAACCCCAAGTGTAACACAATTGATTTTACACACACGCACAGCTCTCTCACTGCTAATGTTTTGACAGGATGCATTATGGTCATGAGGGGATGTTGTTTGTCAGAAATCAAGGGATTAGTACCTTTTCATTTTTTTTATCATTAAATAAAATGCTGATACTGTTTGGTGACAGAACAGTGTTCAAAAGCAAATATTGATTGTTGAACATTCACATCTGATTTAATTTTAAAGCAAAAGGCAACTATTGCTCCAGACAGCAGTTTTCAGTATACTTTTTCCAGCCCTCCTCAACCTGGTGTTTTCCAGATGTGTTGGACTACAACTCCCATAATCCCCCAGCCAACTGGGAAAGGCTGGTTTTTATTCTATCCTGTAGGTTGTTAAAATGCGGCACATAACGTTCATATAAGGGTTTATCATTTCAAGGTGGCCTAAAAATGTTTCAGAATAATAGATAAATAAAACAAGCATAATATACCAATGTGGTGGCATTGGTTTATTTATTCATTCCCAAGCAGTGTTCAATACATTTTTCACCAGAGCCTTATTTTTAATTGAGTCTAGCATTTGCTCAGAAAGAAATGAAAAATATCCCATCATGCTAACAACCTGAACTGATGCTGACTCGGAATTAAGTCCTACTGTGTTAATGAGACTTATTCCCAAATATGCCAGCAAAGGATTGCAGCCAGAACTACATTCTGGATCAGGCTGTACAGGTGGAGAGATGTGCTCATTAGCAAAAGACACCTCTTTTTCTGTTGACAACAATGAGATCACAGGTGATGGGTTAGAATTGCTTTCCAGGCATAAGGGATGTGCTGTCATTTGTGGAAAGGTGGCTGCCACACAGCTTTTTGAATTCCTTTCCTTGATGTGGATGATTTGTATAATGGGCAGGCTTCTCAATAAGCCGGATGCCGCTTTACAGAGAAGAGTGGCTAGGCCTTTGGAATGCTTATAACAGATGAGGGCACTGATAAGGGAACTGAATTCAGTTGTAGAAGAAGAGAAAGGAAATAATTAGTCAACCTGAACCTGGGGGAGAAAAATCCTTGATGCTGGAATGAAAATGGCTCTTATCTAATCAGGAACAATTAATATTTTGCTTTCTTCTCCATGCTTTCTGGGCCACTTAGCTACATTAAATTCAGTCTTCCTTACTTAGTTCAAGTTCTTGCTGAGGT